TCATTCGTTTTGAAGAAATATATGTTTTTTCAGTCCTTTAATTTTGTTCAATCACTTATTTACATTCACTAATTTGTGTTTGGTTAAAACAAACCAAGATCCTATGGCTGTTCATCAGTATACTTTATGTTTACCCCAATACTTAACTAGTTGGATATTTTTTTTATGGATAAGTATCAATGTAACTCAGCCAATTCGTTACAATTTTTTGTTATGACTGTTTAATAGTACAATATTGTAAATTGTGTTTGCACATGAATTATGTTATTGACTGATTCATGTCAAATGCTATTCAGTTTCAATTATCCAAAATTTAACTATTGCTTTACTACAAATGAAATACGCAAATTACTGTACTTTAACACTGCCTTCAACTACTTCTAGTCTATAGTAAACAATCTGAGCTCTGTGTTTTATTCCATTTGTCCAGCCCCTATCTGTGTTTTTTTTTCGATAAAATACACTACAAATACGACAGGTTTTGTGCATATGTATGTGTGTGCAAAAGAACAGGATACTTTCTACGTACCAAGTTTAACAAACTATTTGGGTGACTTACAAAGAGAAAATTGAAATCTGTTGATGATCACGTTAACGTTCATGATGGGACAATAACAGTCAACATTTGATGGGAAAGGCTAATATCCTATTGATTTTTGTTGTTTTTCAACTCAATAATAAACCAGTTATTTGGTAATCCGTTTTGATGGTTCAATAATTGTATCATAAAACCATTCAGATAGGGTCGGATTTTACCTAGGGGTCATTGTCCTTTTACTTCTGTTGAAATTATCAATCTTTTAGGACCAATGAAGGTAGAAGCAAAAAAAGACATGAACCTGTCAACGTATTCATATCGAGACAATTTACGCAGGGTTAACATATACCAAAAAAACTTATCAGAATTCAGTCAAAAATATAAACAATGACATAATTCGAAACGTCTCTAATTTTTTTCATACAGTTATCTAATTGTATGTGAAATATATAGATCAAAATATGGATTGACGGGGATTGTAGTAATTATAATAATTGAATTCATGAGTCGATCTATGCCAGACCACTATTGAAAACCTGGGAGCACTAGATATCTGTTACGTCTTAGTATAGAAATCCCCATCTGTGCATATCTACCATCTCTCACGGGAGTCTCGAACATTGGGACCTTCGGTCTAGTGTACGTGCGTCTAACCTCTAGACCAGTGAGCCAGTATCCAACGGTGTTAATGTCTAACTTCAATCGACACATGATCATGTGTAACTCTTCATTCATTGTTTGCAATGGTGGTCTAATTTTGATGGAAACATGAATTCAACTGATAAAATATAAAAATATTCTAGAAGCAAACGCAGAGAAAAAATGTATGAACAGAATTTTCAGAAGTAGAAGAGTAACGTCATCAGTTATATAATTGGAGATAATATTTGTCTTTTTTTCTTAACTAATGATACTATTGTTAGTGGTTGTAAGCAGTTGAAACAAATCCATAAAACAAATGAATTCATAGATGGTGGAGAAATTCAAACACTTCACTTCTACCCAAAGTTTGTGCTGATGATGTCGTTCAGAAGGACGATGAAAGCTCCACGACCAAACCATCCAGCTCAGAGAACAAACCAACATTTTAAAAAATGAATTCATATTTTTTTATGGCTATGATAATCGATTAAAGTTTTATTTCATAAAAAGACGTCATTAAGAACACACATCAGCTCTATAATACAACTTACACAATATTCGTCAATTTCGATCAATAAGCTTACATCACAAATAGATACCATCTTTATCAACTGTATCAAATTGGTAAACAGTAGAGAAGAGAGTTTCTATTGAACAAAAAACTCACTTTTCAAATAAATAAAAACATTAAAAACTATAGGCAAAGATATATAATGGCTAGTAATTGAATCCAAGACGCGCGTCTAGTCTTATTTATGACTTGTGAATTGAATGTACCTCCATTCCAGAGTTGATTTTCACTCCTGTACTCGAACTCAGTATCAATGATTTCAAATACCATCGCATTATCCACTTAACTACTGAGTCTCAGAGTGAACATCAACTCAGGAGTGCATGACAATGAATTTCAAGTATTATCTATTTGAAATAGTTTTTTTCTCTATATTTATCAACCCATTTTTTATACATCAAATAATAACACTATAAAACTGATTTCCAGAATTTAGTTTTTTTTTTTTTATAAAAATAAAATTTATAAACTACTGAAATACTTATTTCTTGTCTAATCATTTTCATAAACACAAATCAATAGAAATCAATAAAACTATTTTATTTTAGTGAACTATTTCTCTTATTTGATTTACAAAATAGCCTTAGCAATAAAATATTATTCATAAGAATCTATTTATCTAAGGTTGTTGTAATTGTTTTTTTTTTATATATTTTTTTGTTTAGTTACAATATGTTAAGAATATAAATTGTGCATATTTATTTTTTTTTAATTTTTTTTAAATTAAAAATCGATACATAAAAATCAATAATTTCAAATCATAATTTAAATGTATGATTATTAGGTGAAGATTTGTATATACCTATATATAGTTTATATATTTTTTTATTCAATAATTTTAATCAATAAATCAATATATTATTGGTCGATTTTTTTTGTATTTTTTTTTACAGATGAATAAATATGTACATTGATATATAATATTTTAAAAAAAATAAAAAAAAATTTTTTTTTGTTTTTTTTCTTGGTTTTAAATCAAAATAACTGAGAAAATTTGTTTGAATCCATTGAATGAGATTGTTTCTATGTTTTTTTTCTTTCAATGTTCAATAGTATATGAAGCAATTTTTTGGTTATTTTTTTTGTAAAAGTTCATTTAATGAATACATTTTATAAATAAAAATATAATTTCTATTGAGAATTTCATTAGAAGTTTTACTTACTTACTCACTGACGCCTGTTATTCCGAATGAAGCATAGGCCACCCACCAGCATTTTCAACCTACTCTGTCTTGAGCCTTCATTTCTAGTTTTATCTAGTTTTGATTCATTCGTCTTATATCTGTTTCCTTTTCTCCGCGTAATGTGTTCTTTGGTCTTCCTCTTCTTTTTTGGCCTTCACGATTCCATGTAAGGGCTTGTCTTGTGTCGCAGTTGAATGATTTCCTCAATGTGTGTCCTATCCACTTCCGGCGCTTCTTCCTGATTTCTTCTTCCACTGGAATCTGGTTTGTAGTATTTGAAGTTCTAACTTTTAGTTTATTTATATTTTTTTTTACTTCTGCAGAGTTTAGATAAACTGATGAAATTTGTGTTTGGGAGATCCTAAAAGTTTCCTGCAATAGACATGACAAGCTCAGGAAAAAATTAAGAAGCATTTTAGTCAATCAATATTTGACTAGAAGTTTTGCTAGAAACATCACGAAAATGAAAAGTCACATATATGGAGTTTTAAATTGGCTGATTACTACACTGCTACTACTACTAGTAGCATGCAAAAATTTTCACGAAATCCCAAAGACTTATAAAAGACCATAAAATGCCTATGTTTTCTGTACATAAATGAACTTTTGGAGTAAAGTGCTTCCCGTATATTTTGCGCCTTTTCTCTCGTGCTCAAGTCACTGTGTAGCTCTAGCTTAAGGGTTACGAGACTAGCTTACGATCCGAGTATAGTGTTCAATTAGCAAGACTTATCAAGATGTTTGTAGACAAATAGGTGTAGATAGCTTTGAACGATTAAAAATTTTAAAAAAAATTGGCAATGAAAAATCATGATTTAATATCTAAAACTCATAAACTAAATGTGAATGGAAAACTAATCAACATTATTACCTATATCTAATTCATTTTCTTTATTCATAGAGTGTTTTTTTCTATGATCATACATAATACAGAAATGTTTGAACCATATAAAATAGACTATAAAATCATAAAGTGTGAAAAAAATGCAATAGAAGATCAAAGTGTAATTATAAAAACAAAACTTGGTATTTTTGCTTAATGCTATTTATCACTTTTTGACTTGTGTTAACTTTCATCCTTTCAGTCTCTTAACTAATCAATAAAAATTAACGCAAAAATAATATCCAATCTTTTATTGTATATATGTATACAAAATGATTGTATTATGTAACTGACATAGTGAGCATCAGCGAAAGTGCAATTGTACTAACCGTTTCAATGGATTTATTTCATAATAGAATGAATGAGAATGAAGAAAGTATATTATAAAATGACATGAAATACATAATTCAATAAAAGATCAAGTATGACCATAATTACCTCAGTTAGATCAATTTTATGTGATACCATCCAATTTATAAAATCATCGATCACCATTATCTTTTCGGTTCCAACCTGGAAGTCTATAACCTATCTACATAAATAAATAATGGCCATACAACGCGATGGCAATATATTGTATATAGGTGGTATATATATAACACTAGTTAAAAACTCTTTGAAAACCGAGAAGCACTAGAAACCTTTTTCGACTGGGCACGGAACTCCGCACCAGTGCGTATTCACGATTTCACAGTGGATCGAACTTCGGACTTTCAGGACTGTCAGCAAGTCTCCAACATTTAAACCACTAAGTCGATTTCGGATGGTTTACAAGTCTAATTTCAATCAATTTGTTATGTTCTACCTTTAAATTCAGATGTCATTGATAAGTGATTGTCTCACTTTTGACATATATAAGCTAGACCGCTTTCATTTTCTCACTAGAGCTCCAAGAATTATCTTGAAAAATCATATACTAGCAGAGTTTGTGGAGATTCTTGAATCGTATAATTTACGTTACAATAATTGAGAAGCAAGAATCGCTGAAACATCCATTCCATTTCGATGATTGCCTAAGTTGAATTCATCACTATATCTATGAAATTCAACAGTTTTCATTAATCCTCTTTAAATTTTTATATTCATTTACTTATTTAGGGGTCATGTCTTATTTTTAAAACTCATCGCATATTTTATATTACATATTCTCATATTATTTCCGCTTCTTTTTACATCTCTTAGTGTGCAACAAGTCCATGTCATCGACGTGAAGAAGATAATAAACTAGCTGTGGAAGAATTCAAACGTGATTTAAGTCGACGTAATATATTTCGATGTTATGCTACACCAACACTATCACATACAACACTAACAAGTAATCCACATTTTTCCAATAATATTTTAACTAATGATCAACAATCTTCCACTACTACCATTTCGTCTTCTTCATCATCAGCATCATTATCTGTTTCTTCAATTTCACAATCTTCTACAATATTAAATAATTCTATACTAATATCAATGGATAATAAATCACCAACTAATCGATATCATCTACCTCTTATTCAACAATTAGATTCTAATCATGCTGCAGCTATATTACATCGTTTATATACATCATCAATGTTTATGCATGGTCTTCTATGGCCTGGTGGTATATTTTTAACTGCTTTAATCATTTTATTATTTACATATTTTACTGATTCATGTGAAGCATGGGCTGGAGATAAAACTGTAATTGCTTAAACGGAAAAATCTATTATTTCCTTTTAAATGATTAAATTTCATTTCATAATTCAAATTATCAATTATTATCATTATTTAATTGATATTGCTATGGATCATCATATACTATAGAGATTGACTTTTTGTTTTTTTGCTATTCAAATATTGATGTATGTGTGTGTGTGCGTGAGTGTGTGATTCAGATAGTGTATTTATATGTTTGTATGCATATCGTAAAGGTTTGTTTGTGTGTGTGTGTGTGTGCACCTGGAAACATGAAGTAACAGATAGTATCTATGATGAAATTTGTTCATTGTTTATTCTTCATTTTATTGATATGGATTCAATCTTCAATAATGTATAATTTATAAATTCTTCAAAATTTTTAGTATGATCATAAAATTCATTATGTATTCATCTTTATTATGAAGATTTAAAGAGTGAAGTGTTAATAATTTACTTGTTATTTTCAAGAATATTTGTAATGCTACTAGTAATCAAACTTGTGATCTTACGATCCATAAGGAGTGAATGTATGATTATGAATAATTTTGCGTTTTGTAATTCGTTGTCTCCAATTATTGATTACGATAATCACTAGGGCCCCTAAAAGGTAGTTTGTATTCACTAACCCAGCTTAATCCAACAGTCATTGAATTTATGGATTGCTATCATGTCTTGGTTTGACTGCTACAAGTTTTCTGTCAACACATTCCTACACTATGTAAAATCATGCGTTAGGCGAATGGTGATGGTTTAGCACAAATAATATAAATCCTAATCATTCGAATTGATGAAGATCTATTATCTCATCAATCGATTTTTCATCTTTACTTAATGCCATGAGTCTAACCTTATTCGATTTTTCCAGCATACTCGAGTAAGGCTTTCAAAGCGTCTATAGTCAAATACTATTCACCGATGAATATCCTTTATTTTTGAAGCTCACATTACACTGTCGTAGATCAAAACAGTAAAAACATTTGTTCAGTATACTCTTCCTTTGGTTGTTTAGCAGACACTTGGCTTAAGTCACGAGTGACCCTGGTTAGAGCCAATACAGTTTTCGAGTCCATGATGGAACATCATCAGACACCAACCCACCTAGGGCAATGAGATTTTTAAGATAAGTGAAGTGGCTGTTGCGTCCAACTAATTCATTTCGCATCATTAGTTTCAGTGTTTACGTAAAACAATCCTGAAGCAACAATTTACATTCGGGAGAGGTGAGACTCATTCGAAAACGTGTTTTCATTGTTATTCAAAGTGGTCAGAGAACTCCATAACTTATCAGTCGACTAAATTAACTTATCATTTGGTCTAATTCAAATTCTATCTTCATACACTAAAAAATGGAAAATTATACTAGATATATTTCGTTTATATGAATTTTGTACACTTCAGCAAACTATTTCATTTTCACCATTCTAAATTACAGACAGTTTAATCTGTAAATCTATCGCTCTGTGTCACCTTGTGGGAGGGAATCCACCCTGCATCTAAAACAACAGCTACACATAATGTGATAACTATATATTCAATAGTTCACTAAACAGTATGAAGTATTTGTGCAACATCAACTATTAACTAACATCCATAGCATCATCTACGTTGAATTCATTCTTGTATTGTTTGTTTTAATCTTCCCATTGATGTTCAGGACTGCAATCGATTAGACTCTTATTGGCATATGTGCATTCTGTGCCTCGATATTACCTTAAGTCACAAGCATTATAAGAGATTGATCAACTGCAGTCCCAAACATCAATAGGAAGATTCAAACAAACAATACAAAAACGAATTAAATTTTCACTCTATTTCACAATCTAGTGACTATCTGAACTCAGTAACTAAGTAGATAAAACTATGGTGTTTGAAGCGAACGGTATTGAGTTCGAGCCCTGGAGTGAACATCAACTCTAGGATGGAAGTGCATCTAATTGATGGGTCCCAAATAGGACGAAACCCACATCCTAAATTCCACGGCCAGACACCAACCATTTTTGTTTATAATGTCTATGTAAAAGTATACTCATTGTCTGTGATATATATTAGTTAAACTGAATATTATAACGAAGCAACGGAATTTTATTTAAAACTAATTTTGACTATTTTGATCTCTTAAATAATAGTAGTGGTAGACAGTGAAGGTCTCAGGTTGAAAAAATTGCAGAAATTTGTATAAATTTGTAATGTAATTCTTAAGAGGACTGTCGGATTTCAAATTCAAATTCAATGACACTTAGTTTTGCTTTTCAATACAATCTACAATCAAGCGTTATTGATACAGCATAAATTTCAGATGTTTTTTATCCATACTTAGACTGAAGATATAATTGACGTGAGAATATATATTATTTTGCTTTGTTCACAAAACCTGAATATAACTTTAGCAAAAATAATTTGTTGATAGAGTGATTGATCATTGAACAGTGATCCATGAATCTGAATAAATAAATACTACAGGAGATCATCCACTGGTTGAATAGCTGAGTGGTTATGAGAGCGTGTTATGTGACGTGAGTCCAAATCTCACAAGGAGCATGAGTCCCATCAGCATCTGAGATAAGCCTTGGTGACGAGTGACAATAGGTAAGAAATCTGGGTCCAATGTTTCCTGTTAAATAGCTCCAGTGAACGGAAAAATCATTGACAATTCTGGGAAGGATACACTCAGTGAACATCAAAGTCTAATAATACTAATCACATTATTCAATATCATATATATGATTACAGTGGAAAATTCTCAGAACAAGTATTCAGTGTTGCAAGAAACCCCATTCACTGTTAAATCACCAAGTCTACTGGGCTTAATGTATGCATATTTCAATTCAATTGTCTGTTGTTTCTCCAGGAACTATACATGGAAGGAACTATGCAAGCCACCATGTTAGTTTCACTTGAATTGAACAATAATTTACTTCATGATAGGTTGTCAACTTTTACAAGTGCTTTCATTTAAGTCAAAAATCGATCTAAGTTAGAACACCATTGAAAACCTGGAAGCACTGGAAGGCCATTTCGTTCTAGTATGAGACATCTCATTTGTGTGTATGCACGGTCCCGCAAACGGGATCAAGGGTCGTCGGGCATTTTCTGACGTGCGAGATTGTGAATTCGCACAGATGAGGATTCCCATATTAAGATGAAACTGTCATCCAGTACTTACAAGTTTTCAATGGTGGTCTAACTTAGGTCGGTTCATCATTTCAATAAAATTCTAAAATCTCCACAACCCTATACTGAAAAAGAAAAAGAGAATTCAGCGAAGAAAATTTTCTTTTCAACGAAATCATTTACTTAAGCTGTACATTCGTATATATAGTGATATGGAAAATATATGTCTATAGGAGGCTAGAAAAGATTGCATTATAAATGGATTTGACAATAAATAACAAATGAGGTGACGTACTAATCAAGGGGTAAGGAAGAAAATAATTTATGGGTCAGATAATAGTTCAATTAACAGATATGAAGAAGAGCGACAAACACAAAGGTCATAATAATAATAATCTGAGTAATAATCAAGAAAACTTGTATAATCAGAAGGGGTTTTGTGGAGATTTTAGTATTTTATAGAGTTGAGATCATGAGTCAATTGAAGCTAGACTACCATGGAAAACCTGGAAGCACTGGACGGCCGTTTCGTCCTATTATGGGACTCCTCAGCAGTGCGCGTCCACGAACCCACTCTCGCGGGATTCGAACCCAGGACCTACCAGTTTCGAGCCGAAGCCCTTAACCGATAGACCACTGAGCTGGCATCCAACGGTGTTAATTTCTAACTTCAACTGATTCACGAAATTGAGTTGAAGTTAGAAATTAACACCGTTGGATGCCAGCTCAGTGGTCTATCGGTTAAGGGCTTCGGCTCGAAACTGGTAGGTCCTGGGTTCGAATCCCGCGAGAGTGGGTTCGTGGACGCGCACTGCTGAGGAGTCCCATAATAGGACGAAACGGCCGTCCAGTGCTTCCAGGTTTTCCATGGTAGTCTAGCTTCAATTGACTCATGATCTCAACTCTATAAAACTTGCATAAGGTAATAATAATAATAACTGATTAGAGATTAAATGTAAAGTAGTAATTTAAAAAACAAAAAACCGATAATAATCAGATAAAAGTACAAAAACCAAAAAACCAAAAAACGTACCCAATGAGGGAATTAGGGCCAAGGAAGGGTAAGAGGTTGGACAAATCGTTTCTGCACGCAAAGTTCAGGCTTGAATTCATGGATTGCCAATGCCTCAGCAGTGCATAAAATATTGATTCGACCTCCCTTTGATCCGGTTCCTTTAACTCTATAGATTATTTTAAAAGACGTCTCTTTTGGAGCAATGTGTCCGCAATTGATCAAGTGCTCTTGTATCGAACTGGTTATCTTCTTACATTCACCTTTTAGGAGCCAAGCTGGGTAGTGTTCAAAGATACGTTTGGAAAGCGATCGCTTTGTGCGGCCTATATAACGTGCTCCACATGAGCAAGTAAATTTATAAATACACATCGATGTGGCCCAAAGCACTGCTGAGGCATTGGCAATCCATGAATTCAAGCCTGAACTTTGCGTGCAGAAACGATTTGTCCAACCTCTTACCCTTCCTTGGCCCTAATTCCCTCATTGGGTACGTTTTTTGGTTTTTTGGTTTTTGTACTTTTATCTGATTATTATCGGTTTTTTGTTTTTTAAATTACTACTTTACATTTAATCTCTAATCAGTTATTATTATTATTACCTTATACAAGTTTTCTTGATTATTACTCAGATTATTATTATTATGACCTTTGTGTTTGTCAATTTTCTTCATATCTGTCAATTGAACTATTATCTGACCCATAAATTATTTTCTCCCTTATCCCTTGATTAGTACGCCACCTCATTTGTTATTTATTGTCAAATCCATTTATAATGCAATCTTTTCTAGCCTCCTATAGACATATATTTTCCATATCACTATATATACGAATGTACAGCTTAAGTAAATGATTTCGTTGAAAAGAAAATTTTCTTCGCTGAATTCTCTTTTTCTTATTCAATGACATTATGAGTTATTTTAGTTATCTATACTGAAAACTTCATAGATTTCTTCTTTATTTACTCTCATCTACAAGTTATTTTCCTCCTACAGTTTTTATTGAATATCAGCTGAAATCCAAATCGATTTGTGGAATGTTTTGTATGAATAATAAATATGAATTATAGTAATTCTTTGCAAAATTACTATAGCAACTAGTGAATATTTCATCTATGGTTTATAGGATGATTACCAAACAGATTTCCTTAAACTGATGTGCAGTATAGGATTAAGAAAAGCGTCTTTACACTAATTCAATTTAATTCTAAAACAAAACCTGATTAATTTGATGTGCAAATAAATCATTGTAATATTTAGACACTACCGCTTTAAAAAAAAGTGATACACATACAACACATCAATGCGTAGTTACGGCCTTGTGTAGCACAAAACATGTCCGTATATCACTCTATGACAAGGTTAATATTATTATTAACGAATGTTCTAACGCAATTTGTAGGTCAATAATAATTGATCGATAAGAAGACGACCATGTTTTTTTGAATTGGAATCAATTATTCAAAATACATTTTAAAGATTTCAACGCGTTGAATTCTCGTTTACTGATTTTAGGATTACTTGTGTACATTCCACTGTAATAACTATTTGTACATTCCTATCAAATCTGTGATTAGACCACTAGCTGTTGGTACACAATATTCATCTATTTATTTATTTAGTGAAAAAAGTTATATTTATCATAACAAGCATTCAACTTTGAAAGCTTATTTTGTTTTGCGTACACATGTTCGTCAGACCGCCTACAGTTCGAACAACCAGAAATCCTCGTAGAAGACCCCCACATATATTCAATTTGGGCGAAGCAAATCGTCCACTGTTACGACAAGTGATCAGAAGTCGTCGATCAAATCCAGTCCGTGAAGCATATGTTTTAGAAGTTAGAGAAGGTCCTGTGGTTAACAGCAACGCAAATGCAGCTACTGCAAGTATGATACCCCAGCCATGGGTTACTGTGCGCGACTATTATAAGGGAAATGACTTTGTTAGTCTTCCTGTTTCTATTTGTAACACACTGCTGAAGCACCTTATGACATGTGCTTTAGTTGATCATGAACACCAAGTAGAAAGCTCTGAAGATAGTGAAATTGAGTGTACTTTTTCACCTTCCCCCAAAGTTGGAGAAGAGGCAAGTTTAACTGAAACGTCCGGTGAAACAGTATCACAGGTTGAAGGGGGAGCCTCTGAAGGTACAAAAGTTACCAAGAAAGTGTCTTCAGGAGTCAAACCCCACACCTTCCAGCTTAGTTTATTAAAACCTATAAGAATAGTGTGTGAAGCAACAGGATGTACACTGGAGGTTACGGCACGTAATCCGTTGCCGAAACACACATCTGCTAATTCAGAAGAACCAACACAAACAGTCCAAGCTGATCCTGACAAGCGATGGCTTATTTCGGCTCCACTAGAAGTTCGAAAAACTAATTCTTCAAGTGGTGAGCAAACCTTGGATAGCAGTGGTATTGGTAGTACCACTAATGGAAGTGGTCGACGTCAGTTCTCCTGGGAAACGCGTGGCACATTGGAACTACATGCGAGCCTGATGCCTCAGCTATTAACATTTCTTGGTGAGTTATATTTATCCTTTAGCAATTCAAATCTAAGATTTAACAGTGATTTTACCTAGGAGGGAGCCATAGGTTTATGAACTAATAGCAATCAATCACGGGTTTTATTGATTCTCCTTTTTTGTCGAACCATTTTACTATATATATATATATCTAATAACAGGGGAACAATATTGTTTTTGGTTAGATCTAGAGGCTTTACCCTAATATAGAGCAATATTTATATTTATTGATGGGAAACATGAAAGTATTAAATTCTACACATAATATATAGCTCTATTATCACGCCTGATCGACAGTAGTCACGTAGTAGATAAGTTGGTTAGGTGTAGATAAAAGAGTCATCTGAGACACTGTATACCTTTGTAGCTTCCTAATGGGTTTCAATCTTATCTCTAATATATACCAGTAGCTATAATAATTCGAGCCAACTACCCTAATTTGTGTTCAGACGAATTTTGTAACTGTATTCGTTCGTTGACCTGATTAGACTTAATAGACTTGACCAATTATTCACATCCATTGTTTGTTTTTCTCCACTCCTTTCATAACTGATTTTCACTAATACATTTAAATTGATTATTCACATACCTTTCATAACGTGGTCTTAAATGATCATTATTTTAATATCAGAAGGGGTGCTGTGGATACTATTATTTTAATCACTTTATTTTCCTACATTTTGATTTACTTCGTGTGTTGAAATAATCTATTCAAGTTGTTATTTTTCTCAACACAATGAGTACATTTCATTTTACTATTAATTTGTAATTTATTATGTTTAATGGTACAATGTGTTTCATTGTTATCATTGACTCACAAACTGCTTAGATCGGTTTATGAATATTACTGTCACTAATGTAAAGTGTGAAGTTCTAATTGATATCAACATTGTTCTAGTGTATAAGCGTAGTACTTATCCATACAATTGGAATTTTTAGTATTATATAGAATATTTAGTTGAGTTGAATTTTTAAATTTACACCTATGACGTTTAATATCTCAGAGATTTAAAAATTCCATAGTGGTATTTTAATCACTGTTGAACTTAATCATTATTTCCGCATCAATGTCTAGGGAGTAAATCATGTTGGATCTGCTGAAATGTAGATTGAGTGATAATATCATTAGTTGTCATACAACTTGTGTAACTCACAGAGGAATATTTTTTTCCAACTGTTTTAAATGTCTGTTTATACTAGCTGTGGAACTTACAGACCTTCAAGATAATAGAAGTGTTTTTTTTAAATATTTTTATTATTATTAGCTTTATTCAATATTATATTTTCGGTACAATATCGAATCCTCAGTACCAAGTATTTCAACAAGTTTCCGTTTCTTACTTCTTCGTCAATCCTGACGATAAATATTGAGTAATCGCCAGTTAGAAATTAGCAATCCAGTCAATTGACATCTGAATAATGTACATTCTTTTCGGTGTATATTGCAAGCAATCACGATATCTCTGATTAGGCCTTTGGTAACTTTTACAGTGAAAGGTTGTACACTTTTCAAAAACGCACCTGACTAGGTTGTGCGATTAATAGCCATACTGATGTATTAGAACAAATTAAATTAGATAAGTTGTTGAAATATATAGATTACAGTAACAGGAAGCCCAGATGTTTAAGCAGGCCACCAGTTGGTTGTATAGATGAGTATCTCACAACCAAAAATTGTAATTGTATTCATTCTTAATCACATTATCTAATCAATGTACTGTGGTTTTTCAGAAATCAGTGTTTATGAGAACTGTTTTTATGCAAGATAAGTTTTTTCAAACTTATCTCTTTTCAAACAGAATGTTGGTTTTTATTATTGGTTTTGACATCTCTCAACACTACGTGTAGTCCACTAATAGAGATCTTTTTTGATATGGTAAATAATTTATTTATTTATTTAAACACATACATATTGGTACAAAGGGGTACCAGATACATATGCGCCACACTTTTTCATATGAAAATTGAAAGTTTTAGTGGTTGGTTGTTTAAAATTTAATTTGACTTAAGTTTTTCATCCATTGTATAAAATGTTGATTATGAATCGTTAATCTACTACTTCTCAGTCATTGTTTGTAAATTGACTAAATTTGTGATTACCTCCTGAATATCAATATTTAAAAAAGCTATTGTGTCCTCATTAATCTTATAAAGTGCTCATAAATAGGCTTTAAGTTAAAATTTTTATTTATTATGTAACCAAATGATTTGAGTTGAATTTTACCAATGGCTAATCAATTTTTAATGATTTAAAAATGGGCTTAGATTAATTAACAGTAGTACAGTTTACGATAGAATTTTTAATTTTTCAAGATATTGATTCTAATGTTGAGTTATTTTTCTTCATATTTCTTAAGGTAATATCTTGTAAAAAACCTATGATTTAAGTGTTTGATCATTGTGAATTTTTAAAAAAACAAAAAAAACACAACAACATTGAAATAGTTAATATTTTACCATTCTTTGTAATCTACTGATACATTTTTACGCGAAAACAAAGTTTATGCTTCCATTTAAGATTTTGACTTACTACTCTATTATTCTGTAGAGGTATTATAATTTAATGTATTCTTATCAGTATAATACCCATACTTCAGTTTGAAAAGTATATCCTTTTAGTTTTGATATGAGAAGTAGAAATAATAAAATACCAGATAATGTTGCACAGGGGTACGGACTAATAAAAAAGAAAATCGTATTTTTTGTATTCGATTCTTTCTGAACATATATGTTCAATTGGTTACTCTATTGTAAATGGATTTATTCTTACTCCAGATGATTTTGACTGTATCCCAGGTTCAATGACTATTTTTTTTTAAATTCTAGTGATCATAATGTAACTACCATTTCCATACTTCAGCATGCAAAACCTTAAAGTATGCAATTTATTAATTCAACTCGAGTATCTAACATCTTACTAGGGACAAGAAGCCTGGATTCAAGTTACAACATACACTATAAGTAAACTGAAGGTTTAAATGGTTATTTCGTTCTAAATATATTGTCAACATGAGTGATTTTATATGATCCATTCAATGATATATGCTTCTTATTTGGGTGTTATAAATATAAGTGGTGATGATAGACTTGTTTTATTTAAGTTGAATGAATTAGTTTTGGGGATCATTTTCATTGAAATTTCACGAGATGATTGTCTGATTGCTTACATCACTTTACATTTTGAAACACCGATTGTTAAGTGGACTTCATCCATTACATTTTTACTTAAAGTGGAGTATTTTTCTCTCTTATTAAATTAAAATTGTAGAATTATTTATTAGAGATCATTTTGCTAGACATTTCTATGTTGAAAATATGTCTAAACTTGATTATTTGATTTATTTTAAAATGTTACTCTTGGGAGTAACAGGCGTAAGTAAGTAAGTAAGTAAGTAAGAAATGCTACTAATCTACAATAATTCAAATGTTAATTCAAAAGCTTTTTATCAAGGAAAGAATTTTAGAGCTGTATCCTGTTTCTGTTCTTTTACACATAGTTTTTTTTAATGATTTGATTTTTTTTAAAACCCAATATATAAATATAATCGGTTTAAGTTAAATCTAGAAATCACTTGTAATTGATCTTTTAGCTATTTTTTACTATTTTATTTTGCAGCCGATGTTGTGACACGTTATCGAGCAATTGATTTAATTCCAAAAGTTCAATCACTATACAGTATATCGGGTGAAAGAAGGTTTTTGTTTAATCTAAAAGATACTCGATGGGGAAAACGAATTCACATTTCTCAAGTTACAGACCTACATCGTAATGTTATCGGCATTCCGTTAGAGGATTTGGTTAGTTTTCGCTCAAGGTTAGATACGGTGATAAAAAGTTTAGGATTGGAAGATCAATATGCCATACGCTCATCTATCCATAGAAACACTGAAAATAGATCAACACATAAGGAACAACGTACACGAGTTTCATCTCAGGATGTTTCCAATGTGTCAGGCGGAGTGAATGGCACAGAAATAGACGTGAAGAACAATCTAATTGATACTAGCAATACAAAAAATCGTACTCGTCCTTTACGTACAGAGATATCTTCACTTAATAATAAGGAAAGCAAAAATGTAGGGATATATGATGGTGAATCTGGACAACGTCGTAATCATGGTAGCAGGTTTGGAAGACGTAGTAATTGGACGAATGGAGGACGTGGACATCCAGTGAAACGAAAAGATAAGAATCAATTATCTTCTAATCGAGATTTAAAAACATCTGATGAAACTAAACACAATGAAGTAAACATAAATTCTAACATACAGAATTCACTCGAACCTGCTGTTGAATCTACTCGAATAACACCTACAGCTGAAGCCAGTGCCTAAGTACAATGTTTTGGCCATATAGTTATAATGACTATTCTGGATATGTTTAAACTTATCAGACTATATGCTATTTGTTTTCTCTGTGCATTAGACAATTCGGTAATTATTGTTTTACGTTTGTATTATCGCAAAAAACAGATGAATTCAATTATTTGTTTTTAAACTTTGAAGTATTTCAAGTTGTATAATTAAACCTCTGAACGAATGTTGTTTTTTTTCCATTTTTTAAAGTTAAGCTCATATATTGAGAGTTAATAAAGCCAATCAAATTGTTCATTCATTAGAAAAAATGCCATTTACATATATTCTCCACATGTTTCATAAATTTGCCTGTTTTTGACAGAAAAGAAAAGAAACATATATCTATTCTCATAGTTGAAATCATAAATCAATTGAAGCTAGACCACCATGGAAAACCTGGAAGCACTGGATTGCCGTTTCGTGCCGTCCAGTGCTTCCAGGTTTTCCATGGTGGTCTAGCTTCAATTGATTTATGATTTCAACTATGAAAATAATGAAATCTCCACAAAACCCCTTTTGATCAATAAATCTATTCAATTAAGTATTTTTCTTATTAGACAGTTTTTCATGACTTTAGCTCTTCCTCATTCCGAAAACTATCATCGTTGTTTGAAGAATGTTAACATTCTTGAGAACGTTGAAGGCCAACCTTCCAGGTAAGCATTCAGTTTCTACTAGTCACTCTATGGTTATTTAGTTTCTGATAAAAATTCAGCTCTGTTGATCAATTTATGAATAAGGTCATTGGTTTTTAGGTAGTTGGAAAGTATTGCCAGATAGTTCTAAATGGTTGAGTACTTCATGTTTCAACCCTCTGTAAACTATTCATTCTCACAGTTTTACAGTCACTTCAAGATGACTAGTGACAACTTCTGGTATGAAACAAATCTATTGCTTTCTGTTGGTAGCGTATATCCAGTTTTGGGGTATTTCCTATCGAGGCTTTTCATTCGATACAAAGCCAAAATATCAAGTAATATAAAATCAACCCTACTTGTGTAGTTTATTATCCCACTCATTTTTTTTTTCGATATAATGAATAATAACTTAATAAAACTCACTCATCGAATCATCGGTAATAATACCATATAGAATTTTTAGCTACAAAAAATAGTGTAGTTTAATAATTTTACTTCAACATGAAAATGTGATTAAACTACTTTTACCTTCATAGGGAAAAAGTCGATTACGTACAGCAATACTCTGCTGAAATGTATCTTACGAAATTTTGATTGACAAAATGAATAATTCAATATGATAGTTGTATTATTCAATAAGCTTATTAACTAAAGCTTTAAAATCGTATTTGTAGTTACTTTACAATAAAACTACAAACTTTTTTAGTCAGTGAAACATGTTTAGAGTATTTAGTCATTACAATATCATAACTTTTGTTCATCACTGTTATTCTTTTTGTATAAATTTATCTATTTAGTAATAATAATGTTATTATTACTGTTGGCTTGCATACAAATATTCTAGGTGTTGGTATAAATATCTATATCATCAATATGTTCTTTTAATCAATATCTTACATACATATTTTTTGTTGTTCATGGAAAGGATAAGATAGTCATAGTATTGAAGTATATGGTGTGAGTAACCATTTCAAGTAAAAAAAAAACAAAAAAACATTTTCATCATGGATGAATTTGTAATTCATTGTTTTAATTAGAGAGTTATGACAAAACAAAATGATCAATATGTGTAGGTCATGGAGTATTATAAATAAATCTTGATATTAGATAGTAGTATAAAAGAGAATTATTACAGGTCATATAACAAAAGACCTGAAATCTAGCAACTTGTCTTTATGGTGTACTATGAAAATTGTTTACATTTTGAGGGGATTCTCTTCTGTCTTCCAAATGAATAAGTAAAATGTTTTACAAAAAGTTGGATGTAGTTTGTTAGTGTGTAAATAATCATTCTTTTTTTTTAAAGTCAAATCAAAATGCAATATCTTTTATTTTTCCGTCCACTAAATTTTACAGTCCTAAATATAAGAGCATGATTGTCAATTACTATTTCATTTGAATTATCTAAAATTATCCATATATCTCATCAGTGAGCACGCCATTGTAGCACATCTCAACTTGCCGGATAGAAAAAACAAACAAATAAAGTTGAAATTAGAGCTTCGAATCAAATGGTCATTGAAAATTATGAACCTATGTCCAGCATTTAACCACTAAATGAATGGAAAAAATACTAGGTTTTGCACACATGTTGAGCATTAGGAGGTGGATGTATTACAAATTCACAGGGACGCACCCTATCAAGATTTGTAATACGAAAAATTCCAAAACGTATATCAATATTATGGCGGTTATATGTTAATATGAAGAAGAAATTTCGCTAAGTTTTCATCACTTAAAACTGGAAATAATTTCAATGTTTCACACAGCAGTATGATCCGAGCTCCTTCAAGGAAAGTATGACATTAAAACATGAGATTAGTGGATGTCGTTTTCACCTCTGTCGTCAGCGTTCTTGAAAATGAAGGGTCAGAGTATTTTATACGCATATATATATATATATGTTTTGTTACGCCTGTTACTCACGATGGACCATAGGCTGCCGACCAGCATTCTCCAACCCACTCTGTCCTGCGCCTTCTTTCCTAGTTCTATCCGGTTTTTGTTCATTCTTCTCATGTCTATCTCTGTTTCTCGGCGTAATGTGTTCTTTGGTTTTCCTCCTCTCCTTTTGCCTTGAGGATTCCATGTGAGGGCTTGTCTTGTGACGCAATTAGCTGATTTCCTCAAAGTGTGCCCAATCCACTTCCAGCGCTTCTTCCTGATTTCTTCCTCTGCTGGAATCTGGTTTTTTGTCTCCCACAGTAACTTAATGCTCATAGTTTCTGGCCAAGAGATCCGAAGTATTTTGTGTAGACAACTGTTAATAAACACTTGTATCTTCTGGATAATGGCTTTCGTAGTTCTCCACGTCTCCGCCCCATACAGTAGAACTATCTCGACATTTTTATTGAAAATTCTGATCTTGGTGATGGTTGACAATTGTTTTGAGTTCCAGATGTTATTCGGTTGTAAATATGCTGCTCTTGCTTTGCCGATCCTCGCACTCACATCTGATATATATATATATATATATATATATATATATACCGATCACGTACCCGGTAATCTAGTAGTAGAGAATGTCATCCGAATTGAGAACAGGTATCTTATTCCGTTTACCGGTGTGTATACTAGTTGATTAATGTCATTCTTCGGATTAACATATGGGACATGTATATAAATTAATCGTCTATAGATTACATAATCAACATAGAACTCATGTTTTCTATCCTGACACATGTAGTTAGGCTCAGTACAAACCAGATGTGCTAATCTGTGAAAATAACTCCTACGCATTCTCAAAATCCCCAGTCCCAGATAAGGAGTGTATAGTGACATTAAACTTATTCTAGATATCGAGAAAGCTGTCTTAAGGATTTGTGTTATGTAGTGTTGGTGTTTTTAGCCCCTGCAACTCCAATTAACTCAGTTATTTAAGGGCATGTCATAAGTGATCAAATCAACATAACGTTTCTTCGGGCTGTCGACTCCCAAGATGCTTGCATCTTACCGATCAGGTGCTTCCCAAAGGGACCATGGACAACTGCTGCTTTAAAATATGGTTCAGGAATACTGACCTAAGACAAAGATAGGCATATAGAATAATGTCAAATAAAACAGCCGTATAATGGTAACATAGAAGTGATACACATAAATCGAAGAACCGAGATATCATACACTTGTTTTCATTTAAAATGATATCTGAGAAACAAACAGGAACATTGCAAATACCCTCGGAAACGGTGTGTCGCAAATATGCATATCAATTTATAACACCAACAGAGTTCGAATTTTGCATTCCCCGGTAGAAAACTAACTGTATATAAAACAATAATCCATGTTGATCTGAAAGAATAAACAAGGGATTACTAGCTATCGTGTTATGTTTAAAAATCCCCATCATATTAAAAAAAAATAGTTATATGGATGGGGAATACTATTTTCAATGCACTTTTTTTAGGTTATATACAGTACAGTGAAAATTTTGTGATTAAATCAATGACCAATTTCACTGTAAATATATTTAAAACGAAGGATAAGAATGTTTGGTTATTAATAAAATGGAGTTGCTAGTGATTGGATAGTGACCGCTCTCATGTTTGTCTAGGCCATGGAGCTAGTCAAACTATATCGATTAAGTTGTAATTTGGCTACTAGTCTATGTGACATAACGCGCAGCATATTTTGATATAGGAGGGTTGGCAAAAGTTTGCGAACCTAGGTTTCGTCCCATTCGTCACCATTCGATATTCCTTATATGATTTAAATCTTATGCACATCAGCTTCAATTTGATAAGCAATAAGTTCTAAACAAACATGATACTAGTCATCAGTCAGTGACCAATGAATTGTAAAAATCTAAGTCCTACAGCAGGTCAGACGCAGCCCAGATAGCTCACTGGCAAAATTTTGGACCGTAAAGCTGGATTATTTATGTTTTAATACCACACGGAGCATCAGTTCCCACAAGATTGCAGGTACGGCTTGTTAACGAGTCCCACACCTAGATCCAGTTTACCCTGGCATGTACTTCCAAACAAGATATCATGACTGAATTACCTATTGAGTGATAATGGTTAGCCAAAGAAGATAATATAAAATAACCAATGATGATAAATTGAAGCAAGCAATATAAGTTCTTTAAATAGTAAATAAATAAATATTAACTGAACAATGAATGCATACACATATTAACCGATACAGTTTGTGCAACTACTACTGTTAAGTCAGGGTAAAATGATCACAAATGTGAAACTTTTACTACGTAATTATTCAACAAATTGGTTCATGTGATTTTTGTGTTCTGACTATAGACGTCTAATTGATCCTATTAGCTGTTCTCATATACTTTTCTTGTTGTAATTACTGTTGGTTTGAGTATTAAATCTGTCATTCAGATTTGTATCATTATAGCCCTGATTTTGTACATATGGATTTTTTTTACTGATGGTGAGTCATTTAGATAATCATGTAACTTTCATGTTTAAAAGTTGAAATCATGAGTCAATTGAAGCTAGACCACCATCGAAAACCTGGAAGCACTGGACGGCCGTTTCGTCCTATTATGGGACTCCTCAGCAGTGCGCACCCACGATCCCGCACTCGCGAGATTCAAACCCAAGACCTACTCAATGGTCTATCGGTTAAGGGCTCTGCCTCGTAACTGGTAGGTCCTGGGTCCGAATCTCGCGAGTGCGGGATCGTGGGTGCGCATTGCTGAGGAGTCCCATAATAGGACGAAACGGCCGTCCAGTGCTTCCAGGTATTCGATGGTGGTCTAGCTTCAATTGACTCATGATTTCAACTTTGA